TTTTTATATTTGTAAAAGGTTTTTTTGTGCATTTTTTCTTAATTTTTGTACCTGTATTATATTCTCCTGAAATTAGGAGTAAAAGTAGATTAAGTGACTCATTAACGTCCTTAAAACAAAAAAGCGATGCTAATTAATTTACAAACATGTATGTAAGGTATTGAAGAAAAGGAGAAGAGAGGAAAACACAATATGTATTATTACGTTGTGATGAAAACTTATACAAAAGAAAATTAGAGATACATCATGTTTATAGAACTAAAGAATGGCAAAACACAACAGAGATAAACAAGCTTAAGTCATTTTACATAACATTGTAAAATTTCACTGTCTATAGTATTTACGTATTTGGTCAATGTTTTGAAGCATAAAACTAAAATAAACTTAAAGTCATTGAGTTACGCTTCAAAGTGAAATAGGAAAAAATTCAGTTGTCCCATCTGACATAAGCTTTTGTTTTCTTTCCCTTTATCACTATTTTCATCCTACTTGGTTCAAGAAGGTAACTAATGCTACTACCAAATTGCAAACTAATACACCTTATTTTGTTCAGTTTGTGACCTAAGCAAGGATTCTACTCATCTTTTTAGTTTTGCAGTAAAACCTGTGAGGAATCCAAGTGTGAGTTCATGTCCTACATTGGATAAAAATGAGAAAGTAGATCAGTATATAAAGGTGAAAGACCCATTAATCCATTGTCTTAAGGTTTTGGGTAAAGAGTGGTATTGATCCATTATATAATTGACTTAGATGTTATTGGTGTTTGTGTAACCCACGGATAACCTCCTCCTCGATAGATCCATAACTTTTAAATATTGTTTGACTGGTCCAATTTTTGCCTTTAATCTAAAATTGGTTTCCTCTTTTGTAAACATGATTCATGAACAATGTGCATGCACAAAAACATGTACTAATGCATAAAAGACCAATAAAAAAACTAAAACATTCGTGCAATTAGTGCTCAACAAAGAAAGATAAAAATGGTCACACCTATTAATGACTTAAGTCTCTGAATGACGTCACGCGCCTCACCAATGACCTAGAAAACATAAGAATAGTGAGAATTAGTTACAAGATAACGATTTTGCCAAATCAAAGAATGAGAGAACTACCATTGCGAACACACCACGACCACACAAACGAAGACGATAGCGGGCGATGAGACAAGGTTGCATCACACAATGCACTAACGGAAGGAGGCTCTATTTTCTCTCCAAGATTTTTTTCAAAGAGGGAAACAGACCTTCAAAATTTTTAATCAAATTTTCTCAAGTGATTATGGACTACTTTTATTTGTTGGTAATGATGTAGTAGTTTACGACGATGTTATCAACATATATTTTATGCATATACTTTATCAATACAATTCCCGACAAATATTTTCGTGACATAACCTGTCATTAAATCCACCGATAACAAATTATTATTAACAAAAATGCATCTATTATTAAATATTTGTCGCTAATTTCAATATTTCTTGTAGTGAAAGTAAGTTTTTTTACCAAATAGAATTAACTTATTTTGAAAGAGGTTAAGACGTACGTAATGACGACATTGTTGTTAGTTTAAACAAAACAATATTTCAGTTTTCAGTTTATTCTCATGTATAAAAGCTGTAATCATACTTTATTTGAGGTTAATGAAAATTCAAAAGAAGTATTATACAGTACCTGAGCATTCTCTGTTTTGTCTGTTGTGTTCTGACTCTGATACTTGGCTGATTCCGATGTGTGCTCCGGCGTGTGGTGGTGGTGTCCGGTGTTGGCTGAAGGAGGGTGAAAACCCTAGTAGAGCATCTCTCTCTTTCGTTCCTCTAATTTCTCAGTTTCTCTGTTTCTCTCTCTTGTCACGTGGGTATTACACTTTAAAAGAGTAAAGTGCTTTTGTTTGGGTTTTTACGTTTCTGTCCTCAAAGTCTAATATGGTATCAGAGCTACGACTGTTTCCTGGTGAAAGTGTGAAGTGGGTGTGTAATCTTTGTCTGGAAGTGAGTATATCCATAAGAGAAAATCTTTGGCTGTGTGAAAAAATCAAAGAAACCACAAAATTTCAGCAAGAAAGGATGGCAGGATTTGGAGGAATATAGGGACCATTACCAGTATTTGATGGGAAGCAATTTGATGACTGGCGCATCAAGATGCAAGCCATCTTTGGTTTCCAGGACGTTTCAGAGGTGATACAAGAAGGGTTACCTGAGTTGAGTGATAGGACTACTGAAGAAGAGAAAAAGAATTATAAACTGCAAGTGAAACTGGACAACAAGGCAAGATTCTTGCTATATCAGTGTGTCAGCCCAAAGATCTTCAACAAGATCTCCAAGGCTGCTACTGCTAAGGAGGTATGGGACATCCTAGTGAAGACCTATGGTGATGGAGACAAAAACACAAAGGTGAAATTGCAGGCATTGAGAAGGCAGTTTGAGATTTTAGTCATGGATGAGAGTGAAACCGTGGCTGATTATTTTGATAAGGTACAAGAATTGGTGAATAAGATGAGGGCTTGTAAAGATGGGATTTCGGATGAATACATAGTTGACAAAATCTTGAGGACTCTGTCATCCAGATTTGACAATGTGGTGGTTGCAATTGAGGAGACCCGAAGGAAGGAAACTATGGAAATTGAAGAGCTATTGAACTCATTAGAGGCTCATGAATTTCACTTCAATGAGCGAAAACAGTGTCATGAACAAGCCTTACAGGCCAGATCACAGTTGAAAGGCTGGAAAGGGTTCAAGAACGGTGGAAAAGGATTCAAGAAAGGGAAAGACTCACAGGATCAGCAAGGTATATAGTCCAGTGGGTCAGGAAAAATGAAAAATTCAAAGAATTCTGATGCTGAGTGGAAATTTGACAAGAAGAAGGTTAAATGTTACAACTGTCAGAAGCTGGGTCACTATGCAAAAGAGTGCTGCAAAGGAGAAGGGGCGAAAAATAAACCCAAGAAATTGGCAAATTTGGCACAGGAGGAAGAATCAGACTGTGAAGCAGTGATATTGATGGCCCAAGATGATGGAAAACAACCAGAAAATATTGTATGGTACCTAGACTCTGGATGCTCCACTCATATGACCGGGAGAAAGGACTGGTTTGTGAAAATGCAGGGGGTGGAACATGGGAAGATCAAATTTGTTGATAACAGCAGTTTGGAGGCTGAGGGGTCTGGCAGAGTTGTACTCAGAGGTGAAGATGGTAGAGAAGTAATAATAGAAGAGGTACTGTTTGTACCAGGTTTGAAGACCAATCTGTTAAGTCTGGGACAACTTTTACAGAAATGTTACATGATGAAGATGGAGGATAATTGTCTTAGTATCTTCAATCAGAATGGGAGAGTGGTTGTGCAGGCTCAGCTATCACAAAATAGAACTTTCAAAGTAGTAATGGAGGCAGTAGATCACAACTGTTTTACTGCTACAGAGAGTAAGGATGAATGGATGTGGCACCTCAGATTTGGACATTTGAATTTCCAAGATCTGTTTCAGTTAAGCCAAAAGAAGATGGTGATGGGTCTACCTAAGGTTGATATACCAGAAACAGTTTGCAAGGAATGTGTTCAATGCAAACAGACAAAGGGAAGCTTTAAAAGGGTCTTACCCCAGAAATCAGCAGAAAAGCTTGGGGTAGTGTATTCAGATGTATGTGGACCTATGTAAGTAGAAACACCTGGGGGTAGCAGGTATTTTCTGTTATTCATAGATGACTGGACTAGAAAGTGTTGGGTCTACTTATTGAAAAGAAAAGGTGAGGTGCTACAACAGTTTCAAAAATTTAAGAGTATGGTGGAAAGGCAAAGTGAAAAAAGGTTAAAAATTTTGAGAACAGATGGAGGAGGGGAGTATACCTCCACTGAATTCAGAAACTACTGTGAAAGAGAGGGAATAGTTCATGAAGTGACTCCTCCCTACACACCTCAACACAATGGGGCTGCAGAGAGGAAGAACAGAACTATTTTAAACATGGTGAGATGCATGTTGAAGAGCAAGGAGTTTCCTAATTTTCTATGGGGTGAGGCAGTTATGACAGCCACCTATATCTTAAATTTATCTCCAACAAAGAGATTAAATGATGTTACTCCAGAGGAAGCCTGGACAGGAGCAAAACCAGATGTAAAGCATCTGAAATATTTTGGTTCCCTATGTTACAAACATGTGCCAGACAACTAAGAAAGAAGCTGGATAATAGAGGAGTTCCATTGATACTGGTGGGGTATCATGTTACAGGTGGATACAAGCTGTATAATCCTACAACAGGGACAACCTCTATTAGCAGAGATGTGATAATTAATGAGACTGGGACATGGTAGTGGGAGTCAAAAGAAAATGGAGGACCAACTATTGAGTTGGAAGATGAACTTACAGCAGAACCAAAAGTATTTAGGAGGGAGGAGAGTGTAAGAAGGTCATCTAGAATGACTCAACCACCAGCATATTTGAGGATTATGATCTAGCCTTTGATGCAACTATTTCTGCAGAGGGAAAATTTGTTCACTATGCCTTGATAGCAGAAGCCGAACCAGTGGAGTTTGAACAAGCTGTGAAAGATAAAAGGTGGTACAAGGCTATGCTAGAAGAACTGGGTTCAATTGAGAAGAACCAGACCTGGGAATTAACTGAGCTGCCTCCCAGCAAGAAACCAATAGCACTTAAGTGGATTTATAAGTCCAAAATAAATCCACAAGGTGTGGTGACAAGGTACAAGGCTAGACTAGTGGGAAAAGGATTCTTGCAGCAGGCAGGAATAGACTATGGAGAAGTATTTGCACCTGTGGCCAGAATGGAAACAATTAGATTGGTGGTTTCTGTGGCAACAAAACTCAACTGGACCTTACATCAACTAGATGTAAAGTCTGCATTCCTAAATGGTAATCTGGAGGAAGAAGTGTATGTGGTTTAGCCTCAAGGATTTGAAGTCAAGAAGCATCCTGACAAAGTATATAGATTGAAGAAGGCTCTGTATGGACTTAAGCAAGCTCCTAGGGCTTGGAACCAGAGGATAGATGGAGTCATGAGTAACATTGGCTTTGAGAAGTGTGCTTCTGAACATGGAGTGTATGTTCAGAGTTATCAGCACAGTGGAAGAAAAGAGATGTTAATAGTGTGCTTATATGTGGATGATATGCTAATCACAGGAAGCAGTGTTGAAAGAATTGTTAATTTCAAATTCCAAATGTTACAAGAATTTGAAATGAGTGATTTAGGACAACTAAACTACTTTCTTGGAATTGAGTTCACTAAAACTGATGAGGGATTGGTGATGCATCAGTCCAAATATACATTGGATATGTTAAACAAGTTTAACATGAATCATTGTAATTCTGCAAATACTCCAACAGAGGTGGGATTGAAACTTGAGAAGGATCCTGAAGAGGAAGGGGTTGATCCTACTGAATACAGGAAAATGGTTGGAAGCCTAAGATACTTGTGCAATACTAGGCCAGACATCAGTTACAATGTGGGTCTGGTTAGTAGATATATGCAGAATCCTAGAATTTCTCATCTGATGGCCATTAAACGGATTCTGAGATATCTAAAAGGTACACATAACTTTGGGATTTTACTACCTGGAGGGGAATCAGAAGGAGAGGTAGGAATTAATGCTTACTCTGACTCAGATTGGTGTGGAGACAAAAGTGATAGGAAGAGCACTGTAGGATATGTAATTTTCTTGAATGGAGCACCAATTTCCTAGAGCTCTATAAAAGAACTAGTAGTGGCTCTTTCCTCATGTGAGGCTGAATATATTGCAGCCTGTGAAGCGATTTGTCAGGCGGCTTGGCTGAGTGCATTGATGAGTGAATTGAAGATTGAAGTAGAAGGGAAGGTCAAACTACTTGTGGATAACAAGTCAGCCATAGACCTGACCAAACATCCTACATCACATGGCAGGAGCAAGCATATTGAAACTCGTTTCCACTACATCAGGGAACAAGTTAGTAAAGGGAAGCTCGAAGTTGTATACTGCAGATCTGAGGACCAGATTGCAGACCTATTCACTAAGGCACTGAAAGGAGAACACTTTCTAATACTTAGAAAGCAGATCGGAGTAAAGAAGGTGGAGATCAAGGTAGATCTACAGAACAGAACTATGAAAACCTAGGGTTTTCATCTCTGGAAGGAAATTCGTCTGGAAGAAAGTGTTTTCACGAGTTTAATCGGTGAAAATCGTTTCCGAGACCAAAGGAAGCATTTGTACCGATTATTAATCGGTGTAAAACGCTTAGATTCATCAGATGCAAAGTTTTACCGATTCGATCGGTGAAAAGGGGTTTTTTCATCAAAAATCATGTTTTGTTTAGGAGGAGTGTTAGTTTAAACAAAACAATATTTCAGTTTTCAGTTTATTCTCATGTATAAAAGCTGTAATCATACTCTATTTGAGGTTAATGAAAATTCAAAAGAAGTATTATACAGTACCTGAGCATTCTCTGTTTTGTCTGCTGTGTTCTGACTCTGATACTTGGCTGATTCCAGTGTGTGCTCCGGGGTGTGGTGGTGGTGTCCGGTGTTGGCTGAAGGAGGGTGAAAACCCTAGCAGAGCATCTCTCTCTTTCGTTCCTCTCATTTCTCAGTTTCTCTGTTTCTCTCTCTTGTCACGTGGGTATTACACTTTAAAAGAGTAAAGTGCTTTTGTTTGGATTTTTACGTTTCTGTCCTCAAAGTCTAATAATTGTTTGGAAGAGCTCACCAAATGTATGTACAAGTTCTAACCATTGTGATGAAGTCATAGTACATGATGACGACTTTTGTGTAATATGATGTCAACCCTTTCTCACATAATTTGATTAAAAACATAAAGTTAAACGCTAATTAATTAGAAGAAATTGTACAAGGTACTTACGATTTCTGTTAAAACTTTTACATAAGAGAACTCGTGCAAGCCATTAGTAACTTCAATGGGTGTCATATTTTAACTAAAGCCGTGTTCACTTTTGACAACATAATTAAGTATAATTTATTTTGAACTGAAGTTATCATACATTCTAACGAATTCAATGTTAATTGATTTTGAACTGAATTTGTGTAATTTTATGATGAGTTTAGAGTAATTGGTTTTGAACTAATTTCACAACTTTAGAGTAATTTGATTATTAAGTGAAATCATTATTATGTGTAACAACTTTAGTGTATTATGAAAATTTTGGAGAATTTTTAAATTTGAGAAGTAAGCACACAACTTGGCCTCTAGGATTTTTTTTTTCAAATGTAGAAATAAAAACAGAATAAGATCAGCCTAAAGCCTCCTACAAAACCATATTCAAAATGAACAAAACAGGGCAAACACTAGAGAACAATTTAAAAAAAAAAACAATAAATGTAACTTGATAAATACAAATTTAGGAAAATTCATACATTNGCAGCTCTGTATTACTTTTATTACTTTGAATTTTATTACTTGTTCTAGGACAAAGTAAATTGTTAATGCATTTATTTTTTTCTACTTAGAATAAATTAACAAGGTACAGTTTAGATGAATTTTAATAAAGTCGTAACTATAATTTCTTGTTAATATAGTTGACTTAAAATAAAATTAGGTGTGCTAACCTCACTAGCATTTGCCAACATACCCTTGCTTTTTGGATGATGAGAAAATTTAAAACAAGACAATCTGAAATCGTAATCCAACTCTGTCTATGTATCTATGATAACCTTAACAGCTGATTTATTCTAGTTATAAACAAATTTTATCATCTGAAGTGTATCACTTGCTTTATCGAGTCAAATTCTATTATAGCACTGCCGATATAGTGTAGTCCCGCCACATAGTTATTAGCATAAAACCTTGGTTCAGACAGTTATATCGAGCAATTTTATTAGTTTGCACAATGCTTCTCTTACTCGTTTGTATTCTTCAGCTCGATCTGCTCCTTCCTGGAAGTTTCTCTAAAGAAATTTGCATGATAGGTAATTCTCTAAGTTCACTTTATGTGTTGCTGGTTTCAATCTATCTTTCTTCTAATCCATTTAAGAAGCTTTGAGTCTTTGGGTTTATATTTAGCGATCCTATTTTCAGTTTCTCAATGTCAACTTATAATGCTTCTTTCTTTTTATATTAATCTTTGGAAATCGATTTCTGACTCTATGGTTAAGTCATATTGTTCTTAATGGAATTGATTAGAGTGATTTACTTCAAATTCAAAGATTTCTATCTGCTTTATATATTCAGATTGAGTTTTGAACATTGGGTTTCCCCCTAGGATCTCTAGTACTTCTGTGCGTTAATTTTAAAGGATTTAGCGCTAGGAGAGAGATTCCTAAGATGTTTTACTGAATTCCGTTTTTGTAATGAATTCAATAGCTTTTCTTGCTTCCTCGTGGTGTTCTACATGTGGTCCTTTTCTTAGTTTTCTAGTTTTGTTCCTTTAATCTTCGGTCTTGATTTCTTTAGTTTTTGGGGACTTCTTGTACCTTTCTGTTCTATCATAATAAATTCTTTATTTATCTAAATAAGATTATTATTCTCTGTTTTGCACTCTGCAACAACCAACTAGTTTCTCTTTCACTATTTGAAAATCTGTGATTCATTACAAGGATCTTTGGTTTTATTAATTTGATGCAGATTGGTTACCGCCACATCGATTGTGCTCACATCTATGAGAACGAGAAGGAGGTAATTGTCACCACTAGGCGTTTGTTCTTGATCATTTGGTGTCATGTTATATCGATTAAAAAGCACAACTAGCTATTTTCAGTAAACGATTGAAAGTGATTGGTCATATGTGTGAAGGAAATAATTCATTAAATCTGATTCAGATTGGCTNATTTCTTAACACAACCAAACTATGTATATTGGTTAACGATGAGAAGAACAAGATGTAAAGGAAGAGGAATAAAAGGTTAGAAGGGAGAAGCGCAGGTGACAATGAAGTGAAGGAAACTCGTGCATGTACGTTTTTTTTTACAAATTAATGTTTAATCTAATTATGTTTTTAATCAAATTATGTAAGGGAGTGACTTTATATTACACTTGTCATCACATATTATGACTTTATTACGATGGTCAAAACTCGTGCATGTTTTTGGCTACTTCTTCCAAATAATATTACTATTTCGTATCACAACTTAACTTCTTCCATAATTTTCTGTTTTAAACGAGACCCATATACATACTTTTTAAAATAAATTAATCAGGTTTCGTAAAATCTAGAGCATGTATAATTCTTATATTTTATCACAAACCTGTAAAATGTTACTGATTAATTTTCCGGTCTTCTAAGTGAAAAAGAAAATGTCTCCTATGGACGGATTTACACCCAAAACTAAGGATTCAAATGTACAATAATAAGTTGTAGTACATAATAGTACAACTCTATTAATACTTTTACGAAAAATATATATTACAATAAACATAAATATAATTCATTTTATTTTTGACACACAAATTAATTTTAATCTTAGATAAGATCACTTCAAAAAGTTTATTCACTTAGTAAAAAACAGTCTTTTAACGTGTCTTATACGTTTTGGTTTTTACAAAACCTAAACATATTAAAACGTGTTGACATTTTTGTAATTAAGACAAACTTATACGTCTCTGTTCACTAGGAACCAAAGCCTATGCACTCTACTGCCTCGGTTATCTAGGAAACCGAAGCATAAAACCGTTCATTCTTTGAAACCGAACGTTCCAATCCCTTTTGTCGACCTCTACGACTTCAGTCTTCTCTAAACCACGACCTAAAGGTCTTACTGACTCGGTTACTTGTAGAACTGAAGCCTATGCACTCTAATGCCTCAGTTATCTACGAAACCGAAGCATAAAACCGAACGTTCATTCTTTGAAATTGAACGCTTCAATCCCTTTTTTTAGCTCTTTAGGTATCGGTTATCAGATAAACCGAGTTAGTAGTGTTCTTACTGCCTCTGTTATTTGTGGAACCGAGGTAGTAACTCTTTCACGGGTTCAAATTACTCAAACATGAAAAGAGTTTACACAGTTTTCTTCTTCCCCTAGTGCACGCCTCCTCGTTCTTCTTCTTCCCCTCCCTTCTTCTTCTTCTCATGCAAGAGCGTCTTCCTCTCCCATCTCCCATGTGCCTTCTTCTCGCGCTCATCTTCCAACCTAGCTCATCTTTCCGCGTGCAAATAGAGTCCCTTGCATTGCATTGGAACCTTGAGAGAAGGAAGAAGATGTCAGACGCGTTCTGCAATTCAAGAAGCAAACAAAGGTTTTGTTCTTCTCCCTTTCTTTGTCTTGCGCGAGAGGGTTGCTAGGGGGTACCTATCTTCTTCCCCCTTTCTCACTGGTTTTAGGTTGGTATTGTAGAGAAGGGAAACACCAATTTTTTCCCGATTGTTGGTTTCTCTCAACAAACCCTATTCAAAGGTTCTATTCCCAGTCTCTTCTCTCTGCCATTTATCTCGAGCGAACCTGTGAACCTAGAAGCTTCAAGCTTCTTTCTTCTTCCTTTCTTGCAGACAACCAACTTGGGAGGATCATCGATGACAACAAAAGAACGGTGAAGACGCAACTAGGGTAGGGCAAGGGCGCGACAAGGGCACTGTGATGGCAGCGAAAGAATGACAACGACGCGGCTAGGGCTTGGCAAGGTGCGAACCGTTCAGTTCAGTACCAACCGAGGCCTAAAATAAAAATAAAATATACTACTGCCTCGGTTAGCTAATAACTAAGGTAAAATCTTACCCGTTTTTGCCTTGGTTTGTAACTGAGGCAAAAAGCCTACCCTTTTTGCGTCGTCTATATATACATCAATTGTGGAACCGCTGCCTATAAACAAAAATAATTGTTGTCATTTCTCCTTCGTGTAAAATACTTTTATCTTCTTAGATATATTATATACAAAAAAATTGTCTAATCATACCCATATAAAAAAGTAATTAAGTATTATAAAAAATGAAAAAGTTAAAAGAATGATTTTTTTAACTTTATTTCATTATTTTGAATAATCTTCATTTAAAGCTACTTTTTGGAAAAATAGTTAAAAATAATCTCTTCCACTAAATTGGTAATAAAAATGTTACCAGCGTTCCTTATTATTTGTGTCATATTAGCATTGATAGTATTAGTAGTGACGAAAGAATGTATTAACTTATTTGAAAAAAATATAAACTAAATTAACTAAAATTCTTTAAAGTAATATGATAAAACCGAAAAAAAAATTAATATTATGAAATAAGATTAAATTGAATGTTTTTATATTTTAAAACTGTATTTGATCTTAGACTAAAAAATCCCGACATGTGTTTTCTATAGAATTGTATAGAGAAACTGTAATATAATTTTCCGTTAAAAATATTATTTTATATCAAATTTATAAACTATAAGTGCGAAGTACATATATATAATTTAATTTAATAATTAATAAAATACAATTTATAAATTTAACTAAAAAAAAAGTTAACCTTACAACTAAAAAAAACACGTAACGTTCAGTTAGTATCCAATATCCATCAAAATTAAAACAATCAATCAAAAATTGAAAGGAGAATCGAAATGGAACGTAGAAAAACCTTGATGGCAGCAGCGACGGCTGGCCACAACGACGGGATCGATTGCCAGGTTACCAAGGCGATGGAAGGGATCGTGAGCCTGTGGTGTGAGGTCGAATGAAGAATCGAGAGATCGTCGTACCATTTGTCCGCAAACAGAAGCTTCACGGTGCGGCCGCTGAAACAAATGGAGACAAAGAGAATGGACTTATATGCTCTCACGTGGGGGGGGCAGAGTCTGTGTAAGAGTTTGTTTCTGTCATGAGGAAGAAGAGAATATGACGAGTAATGCCT